TACAGCTAACTGCAGTTAATAATTTAAAAACTAAAATGCCACCTCCCAGCCCTTTAAGACATAGTTGTTAACTTGAAATGATTCATTCATTCACTGGAACTGCAATATTGTGATATGAAGTGCTAGGAAAACAATATGTAGGACTTTGCAATTTAGGAAAGAATATTTCTTAGAAGAGCTATAACTTCCTGTGTTTCTCCTCGTAACTTCACTGAATAGGTTTCCTGCATTCTGTTTTCTTAGGAAAACAAGACTAGTTCAGGCAGATTTTAAAATTGCTTATCTCTATCCAGATTTAGCCAGAAGTGGTGGAATTATTTTTTTTTATTAAAGTATAGAACTGAAAAATATTTTCAAGGACAACCTTTTAATAGCAAACTGTTGATGAAGCAAAATTTTTTTATAATTTCTGCCATAGAAGGGTTGAAGACACTTCACCTATTATTGATTTTTTGTTTTCTTTTAATCCTAGATCAAATGAAGACCTCTGAAAAAATGAAAAAGGAAAAAATGGGTGTCTTCAAGGTCCTAGAAGAATCGTCAGATGCCAATGCAGAATGTGTGTTTTAATGTGCAGACGTGGCCTGTAGCCTTTACAGGACAAACATAGGACTGACACCACATCTTCCAGGGAAGTCACTTGCACGTAACCGCTCCTTTATGCTTCCTTTAAGGCCTTGTACAAATTCCCTCGTGTTCTTCCCGTGAATTTTAACATGTTCTACAGCATAAGGCAGGTGATAGTTTCATGTTATTGCTTCGGTAGGGTCTCAGAAAGAATTAAGACACCCAGCATGTTTCACATTTGCAGCTAGCTCTTGTGATCAGTGGTGAAAAATGGAAAATTTGTGTTAAAAAAAAATCTTCCTGTGGAAGTCCTAAAACACTTTTTTTTTTTTTGAAATATAGTGTCAATTGCGGTTTTATTTGGAAGGGAGAGAGTATGAGCCTTTGTAACAGCCACTTGTGTAGCCTCTTTTTTAACTTCTGCAAATTATTTTGATTAAATAAATGTCTGGTTTGTCCTAAAGGTGTAGGGTTTTTAGCACAGCTTCTTCAATAAGCGGAGTTTATGTTGTGTCTGTTAATTCACTCTTTCTGTACTTATTTAGCATATTTCACACATCTGGGGAAAAAAAATGCAATTAAACCCAACAACACAACCCCTCAAAACATTGGAAAAAGGCCACAAGATAAACCAGGCAGCTTCAGTGAGTCAGAAAAAGGCCACAAGATAAACCAGGCAGCTGCAATGAGTCAAAAAAAAACTATTTTATTCTTTTTTTCTGGTGCAGATGTCTGTGCTTCCCAGGAGCACACCCTGGGAAAGGGAGAGTTTGAGACTACAGCGGGGCAGAAAAGAGAGGTGAAAGGATACTGTGTATTCCTTACTGCTGTAAGGAATGGTTTTTGTCTTGGTAGCTTTTAAATTTCCAATTCTGGTTTGTGAATATATCTGGGTGTAACTGAAAGCGTAAGGAATGGTTTTTGTCTTGGTAGCTTTTACATTTCCAATTCTGGTTTGTGAATATATCATCTGGGTGTAACTGAAAGTTGCAGTTGTGGAATTGCAGCCAGAGCTGTCACAGTTGCAGTTGAGCCAGTTATGCCAAGACATAAGCAACAGAGAGCAGGTAGGATTTCATTTTATTCCATCAGACCTCAGAAACTAGTTTCCAGTTAGTTTATGGTCATTCTTACTCTCCAGAGAGTAATCTGTTGGCCTGATATAGAGAAAGTTATTTTATATTAGTGAGGGCTGTTTATCCTTGTAAGGGATATCCTTATCTATAAGGGAACAAATAAATCTGTTACGTTAATGAGTAGGCTGGCTGTGACCTTTGCCTGTTGAAAGCCCTGTCTTGCTTCTAATTACTGAAGACAAAAAGCTTCGAAGTTTTCTGCTCAGTTACTTATTAGCCTGAGTGGTGCAAAGTCCAACATGTGCTGTCTCCCCATGTGAGTCACTAGCAAAGGAGCTCAGCAAAAGTGTCCTTTACACATTGTTTTATGCTAGTGAGGGCCTACTACAAAATTTAACAGTATATGATGTATCTAAATGGAATAATTGTTTGCTACTGTGTGTCTCCTGGCAGGTTTCATTTTACTCTTTTCTTTTTTTTTTGCTAAATCTGCCCAACAGCTTATGGGGAGCCTGGGGAGAGGCTGCTGATGGTTTTTACAGGTGATGACAAGAAAAATGTGTGGTAAACTTATCTCACATGTTAGAATCTACTTAATGCATTTCTCCAGAACTCAGACGTGCTCTGCACTGCCGCCATTTGGGTATTTTTACATATTTGCCCAGGAAAAATGATGTTTGAGCTGCCACGACCCCACCTTGACCACAATCTGAGCTCGTGGTGTTAAGTGTAAATGTGCGAGATGGAGCAACTGGCCACCCTGCTCCCTGCTGTTAGGCTGGGGGAGGCTGGTGGCGATGGTGCAGGGTGTGAAGAGGAGACAATGAGAGGTCTGTCTTGATGCTGTTTTTTTGTTTTTAACCCTTTTCTATCTGCTTTATCTCGTGTTGAGTCGCTGCCAGCCAAGGAAGCTGTGTTTTTAAAGTGACAGACTGCTTTGTGCCACGCTGCACACTCATGGGGGACAGTCCCCCACTCACAAACTGCTGGACACTCTTCAGCTGGCAACTTTTTACCTATTATCTTAGGTTATTGTTCACTTGTGGAGCAGGCAGCTCAGTGTGGTTACAGTTCTGACCCTGTTTAACCTATTTTGTTATCGTTGACAAACTCTAAATCCCGACTGCTAAATTCCAGAGGAATTTGGAAAGCCAGACTCCAGCGACTGTAGTTGCCAAATATTTTGCCCTGCATCATAAAAAAAATGAATACATTCCTTTTTTGTATTTTTCAGTGAGCTACAGCAGAGAGTGATCGAAGTCCTCCCTGGGTGATGAATGTGAGTGGCCTTGGCTGGCCTGTTCCCATAGCAATAAATTGGATCAGCTCTGGTATCTGCCATAGAAACCTCCGCCTCCAAGGCCACCCCACAAACCTTCTGTAGTCCCCGACTCCTGCGTCAAACCCCGCACAATCGGTGTTTTCCCAGCAGGGCTGCCACCAGCCTTTGCTGCAGGAACTCAGTGGGGCCATAAAGCACCACGGGGTGATGGACAAAGCAGGGCTGGGGTGGGGAGGGCAGGGGGAAAGGCCAGGCACGGACCAGCCTCTTCCTCCTGCCCCCAGAGCAACCCCTGGAACCGGCCATCGTTTGCTGATGGATGTTTGTAGATTATGGAAAAGTCTGGTGGCCTTGTGATGCACCGCGTTGGGGTGCACCACATCAGATGGCCCCAGGGGCCAGCATTTTCTCTCTGCCAGGCAAGCGGGTGGCCAGGAGCTGAGAAAGCAGGTCAGGAGGGAGTGTGTGGTCCCATGATGGGACCTGAGCCCTGATTTGAGGCAGGCAAGGAGGTTTCCTCCTGCAGGTTTCCTCCTGCAGGTTTCCTCCTGCAGGTTTCCTCCTGCAGGTTTCCTCCTGCAGGTTTCCTCCTGCAGGTTTCCTCCTGCAGGTTTCCTCCTGCAGGTTTCCTCCTGCAGGTTTCCTCCTGCAGGTTTCCTCCTGCAGGTTTCCTCCTGCAGGTTTCCTCCTGCAGGTTTCCTCCTGCAGGTTTCCTCCTGCAGGTTTCCTCCTGCAGGTTTCCTCCTGCAGGTTTCCTCCTGCAGGTTTCCTCCTGCAGGTTTCCTCCTGCAGGTTTCCTCCTGCAGGTTTCCTCCTGCAGGTTTCCTCCTGCAGGTTTCCTCCTGCAGGTTTCCTCCTGCAGGTTTCCTCCTGCAGCCCTCGGGTCTGTGCTCTCCTCCCCTGCACTGGCTTTTTGTTGGGGCCAGTGCTGCAGCACAGAGAGCCTTTCCCTGGGGAAAAGGGAGAGAATTAACCCCCATTAGCAGCAGTGAGGGGAGATCTCACCCCAGCAGGCCAAAAAAACCCCACTATCACCTTGAAATAAATTTGTGTTGTTATCCAGGGTTTGTACAGGTGTGAAGAAAGCCAGGCTCTTCCCAGGGATGAGCCAGATGAGGAGCTGCTGGTCGAGCTCTGCCATCCTGGCTGGTTTGTTGCTGCCCATAGAAGGAACCTGAGGGGATGAGCTAAATTTAGCTGGGCTGGAGAATCAATCCCTTCCCCGACTGCACAAAAAGCTGTACAGTTGATCTGAGAGGCTTTTAATCCTGGTGTCAGATGAAGACTGGGTTTTGGGTTGTGTTTTGGTTGGGTTCTTACCTGTGGCTGTTGCAGATGCTCCCAGGGGTGGAGGTGCCCCGTGCCTGCCAGAGAGGTCCTGTGTGCAGCTACAAATCCTTCTCTTTTCAACCTCTGGCAATTTGTTTTAAAGCAAAGATGACACTACGTCTTAGAAACCATTTATTTTTATACCAAGAGAACAGTCAGCATCTCATTTGGAGATGGGATCCCATGGCCATGGACTCTGCCCTGGGCTGGAACAAGGAGGTGTGTGGTGGTGAGACTCATCCTCACCAGCCTACAGTGCTGGGGGAGAGAAGTTGGCATGGAATGGACAGGGACAGGTGGAACAGGGACTGTGGCCACCAAAACCTTCCCCTCTTTGCTCCAGGACTCTGGTTTCTAGCAAGCCTCAAGGTGATGTGTTTCCACAGAGCTCAGTTTGTGAGCGTTGGGGACCAGAAGGGACACCTGGGGGCTGTGGTAATGGAAAGCAGTGATGTGGTCCTCTCATGGTGAGGTACGTTTGTGAGCGTTGGGGACCAGAAGGGACACATGGGGGATGTGGTAATGGAAAGTGATGGTCTTTTTATACTGAAAAGATGGGTTGACATAGTGCTTAGTGACATGGTTTAGTGATGGGTTTTTTATATTGGAGTCAGGTTGATGGTTGGACGAGAAGATCTTAAAGGTCCCTTCCAACCTAGATAATTCTGTGATTCTATGAAACACGGCCCCGCACTGGGCACCACCTCTCCTGCTGCCCTGGGAACCCCAGAGAAAGCAGACACTTCTCCCTCGTGGATTCACCCCGTTTATTGGATGCAAACAGAAGGCAAAATAACCGGGAGACAGAATTGTAATCTCTGGCTTTGGCCTCTTGATTTTACTGTGCGATTGGGCGCGAAGGAGGGAAAAAAAATATAATTCTGTGTATGAAAAAAAAAAAAACAAAACCAAACCCAAACAGTGAAAGAGGAGACAAAAAGAATGTTGAACAATTAGTGACATCTCATGTGAACAGACGGAGGATTAATAACGGCGAGGAAACCCAAAGCCATGCCTAGCATTCCTTATTGCAAATGGTATTTTGGGGAGCAGGGATGATGCTTTCCAAGGAAAAGCAGCAGCGGAGAAGCCATCCCCGCCGGCCTTGTGTGAGCAGCGCGCGTTACTTGGGGAAGACGGTGACCACCTCGTAGCCCTCCGGGGGGACGACCCGCTCCCGCGCGTGCTTCTCGCAGTAGATCTGGTCTTCCACGAAGAAGTGTCCTTTCTGCTTGAGGTTGGTGCCGCAGTCGCTGCACACGTAGCACTCGGGGTGACGCTGCTTGTCCCGGAGCTTCACAAACACCCCTCTGGGGAAAGGAACCCGCAAACCCCTCAGCACCACGTACCCACCACTGCCTCCCTCCTCCCCAGCCACCCCAGCCCAGACCCACACCAGGGCTGAAGGTGGACAACCTTCTCCTGCTCCTACAAGTCAACGTAGAGGCTCTACCTCTGCTCAGGGAGATGTCACCAGCGCTTATAGAACTCAACTCATGCTGGCATGGGAGCCCACCTCTGGAAGGTGTTTCCTAGCACTGGCCTGCTTTAAGTTTCACAGGGACACTCCTGTCACCTGTGATGGCATCTTTAGCAGATGGCTGTCACATGCCCAGGATCAAATGGCAGGAAAGCACCAGCTTGACCATCTGGGGGAGCAAAATCCAGATCTGCAGTGAACGGATCCAGCCAAATGTGGGCCAGCTCTTACTGGAAAATTTCACAGCTTAACCCAGCAGATGATGGGGAAAACTCCGTAGCAACTTGTTAACTCCCACTGGCAGCAACACAACAATGAGCCAGGAGTATAATTTTGTTCCAGCAGCCATCTATATTTTCCGAAATTCATTAGGTTTTAGTGCTATTTGTAGCCTTGTGCTTTCTCTCCAGCTCTGCCCAGCTGGTAGAATAATTGTAGGGTTTGTCTCTGTTTCATATTTTACAGGGGATGGGTTGCCTCTGTAATGACTCTGCCAGGCCAGGACCATACAATGATGGTGTAGGGGGTCTCAGCAACCATCTGATACCTTGTGGTGGGCAGCACGAGCGAAATCTGAATTCTTTCATGATGATGCTGGTGGGCCCTGGAGTCAACTGTCAAGCTAAGGAGATTGTAAGGACTTGAACACTAAGGACAAAATGAGGGTAGAAGACTCTGTGGTCAAGCAACTGAATGATGAGGCAAAGACATGGGTTGGGTCCACGTGCCGTCACACTTATGGTCAACAGCTCTACTGTGCTGTAGTTTGGACATACATACATAAAGACAACATAAATTATGTCTGCCTAGACACAGTGGAGGTGTGTGGTCCTACAGCAGAACGCAGCTCTCCCTGCCCACATTGCCTCTGACCACCAGGACAAGTCCCTGCTCCATTGCTGGGAGACCACCAAGCCATGAAAAGCCTTAAATATGCAGGCCCTGAATGGAAAGGTCATTTGGTTTCTGGGTGTTGGAAAGATTTGAGGTAGGAAGCAAAACGCTGCACCAACAACTGTCTGTCTCCAGGTTTGTATCACAGGGACTTGCTTTGGTTTCCATTTAGACTGGTCTCTGGAGGGACACCCAACTCCTGCCTCACTGCAGGGAACTGCAAAGTCAGCGCTACCAAAGCTGGTGAGAATGAAGGTGCCTTGAGCCTGGGTGTGGGTGGGTGAAGGGTTTTGGGTGGCAGTGCCTCAGCACCTCACACGGGCATGGGATGCTCGGCCACAGCCTGCAACCCCTGGGGACAGGCTTACTTACACAATGCCAGATCCACACTTCTCACACATGGGCAGCTTCTGGGCATTCCCGATGGATGAGGCCACCTTTGTGGTGGGGGCTTTGACGCTCCTAAATCCAGACGGTTTGGTAGGGTCTCCTGGGGGGGGTGGAAGGAGAGTGCTTCAGAGCATGTGAGATGCGTGAGATGCTCTGCCAGGGTGGGGTGATGGACTTTAACCCCAGCTCTGAGGCAGGGATTCATGCACGGGAAGTGGGGCAGGGATTGAGGGGTGTGGGGAGGAGGGAGAGAAAGGGACACAGCTGAACCCAGCCCTGGAAAGTCGAGGGCCTGAGATGGTGGGCAGTCAGATGAGAGACTCTGCTCATCTTAAGAGCCCACCAGACTTCAGCTGACGTGTCTCACATGCAGAGATGCACAAAGCAAAGTGAAGCCCCAGCCCCAGCCTTGGCAGCACCAGAGTCTGCCTGTCACGTCCTGATGACACAGGCAGTGTCGAGCTGATTGCCAGATTTGGGCTCAAAAAGAGCAGGTGGATCTCCTGGCAGACTAGGGCTGACTGTCAAAGTCCTGGGCTCTGGGACACTGGGGATAACCTTGTGCTCTGCTCCTGCGTAGCATGCTCCAGGTATCCCCCTAGTGCAACCTCTCTGGGGTAGGGATGTCCCGCAGGTCCTTCACAGGAGACATCTGCTGACCTGGATGCCTACCACAGCAGTGGATCCTAGGGGTGGGATACCAGGCAAGCCTTTAAATATCTGCAGTGAAAAAGGAGCCTCTTACAAAATGACTCTGTTGATGTGATGAGTCTTATCTGTATGACTTCTGCAAGAAGTTCAACACCAGGCAACGAGGTGAGGAGGGCTGCAGAGACGCCCACGGTGTCTCACCAGAAACAGAGGAGGGGGTCCAATGGGCACCTCAGAGTGGGAGGGACACTGACAAAACCCTTCTGAGTAGCACCAAGCCAAGAGCACGTCGCAATAGTTGTTCCTGGTGTAAGGGGAGGAAAAACCCTCCAAAGGTACACCCTGGTGACCAACGAGGTCAGGAACATGTCAGAGCCCAGGGCAGCATCACTGCAGTAGTATCTTTAAGGTCCCTTCCAACACAAACCATCCTATGATTCTACGACAGAAAAGCTGAAGGAATAAAGGAGAGAACTGCCCACCACAGCCTCCCTGTCACCACTGCTCATCCCCTGCTTTGCCTCCAGGGCATCCTTCAGCTCAGAGGTTTGTACCCAGCTCCCTGCAGAGGTGCTGGTCCAGAGGGGCAAGTTCCCCAACTGGGGGCACAGCCCAGGCACCCCCCAAACACAGCAGGAAGCACCTGGGCTCCATCAGAGTCACTGCAAGTGACCCCTTGCCGGGAAGGAAGCGGCAGCAGCCACATTTTCAGGCACTTCCCCATCACCTCTGCTCACTCCCTCTGCCTCAACGTATCAACAACAGTGACAGCGTGGTTTTAAATCTCTCCAAAGGAATCAGCTTAATCAAATACCTGCAGGAAACATAACTTGTTCCACCCTGTGAAATGCCCTCCACCTGTGAGCGCAGGGTCAGGTCTAAACACAGACCAGCTGTGGTCCTTCCACAGCCCCGTGTCCCAGCTGGGGAGAAAGCTCCCTGCTGCAGCTCCACCATCCACAGCCTGGAGACAGGCTGGGAGAAGCAGCCACCCAACGTGCCATCTATCACCCTGGACACCATCTGACTCAGAAAGCTCCCTGCCGCAGCTCCACCATCCACGGCCTGGAGACAGGCTGGGAGAAGCAGCCACCCAACGTGTCATCTATCACCCTGGACACCATCTGACTCAGCAGCAGTGGTGTTTGAGCCCAGCACTGTCTCCTCAGGGACAGACATTCCTCTGGGGCTGCGTAACCTCCCGGCCCCGCTCCGCACGGGGTGATTATCGGCTCACGGTGGAACAACGCCAAAGCCTATCCTGGCCCGTGAGCAGGCAGGCAAACCTTATGCCAGAGAATCCCAACAATGCTGCAAATCTTCAAAGAAAGATGATAAAAATAGAAAGAGGCTTTTGCTTCTTATCTTCTTCAGCACTACTAAGCACA